TTTCACTTTGACTTCTCTATCACTCTCTTTCTCGTCATTCTCATTTTAATTCCTCCCCAATTCCTCTCTCTCTCTCTCTCTCTCTCTCTCTCTCTCTCTCTCTCTCTCTCTCTAACACACGCACTCAGTCTCGTTTCCGCTTCGGCTCTTGTTTCTCTATTTAATCTCCTCTTTTCTCTATGTGTCGTTCCTTCTTTTATGACAGTTTTCGCTTTCTTCTTCTGTTAGTCTATATCTCTCTTTATCTTTCTTCACTATCTTTTCTCTCTCTTCTTTCTTTCTTTCTCTCTTTCTTTCTTTCTTTCTTTCTCTCTTTCTTTCTTTCTTTTTTTCTCTTTCTCTCTCTTATTTTCAGCCTCGTTTCCGTTATCTTGAAGCTAACGGCATGATAGAACGTTTTCACTGTTCTCTGAATCAATCCCTGAAAACAGCACTGATCTATACTTCCTGGCTTCAGAATATTCCGTTAATACTTTTAGTGTTAAGAACAGCTGTAAAATCTGAGTTCTGCAGCCGAATTTGTATCTGACACATCTTCATGTCTACCCGGAGAGTTATTAAACAAACCAAATGAACTCGTCTTGGATCCTGCGCCATTTGTAGATATGCTGAGATTGAAGATGCCTCAAGTAACATCTCCATCTCTTAAACAATCAACCCATGTAACACATTTGCCAGAATCACTCAAATGATGCAACTTTGTGCTAGTAAAAGAAAATGCAACCAAACATCCCTTACAATCTGTTTACAGAGGTCCTTATAAGGTAGAAATACGTACCGAGAAATATTTTACAGTTGTGATTAATAATACGCAAGAGAATATTGCCATTTATCGACTAAAAACGGAATATATAAATATTACAGTTTTTTTTTTATATATGTATGTACTAGTGAGCCAGCCAAAATGAGCTGACTCATTTTATAGTCCACCAAGAGAAGGGTTAACCAATCAGAAAGCTCAAAATATTTAATCCGGCCTGTATAAAGGCAGCCATTTTGTTTTTTCTCCAAAAATATCTTCACTGCCAACCCCTGATATCGAAGACCTAAAGAATTACTTAACAGCTGCTACTTTCTCCGAATCTTCACTGCCAACCTCTGATATTGAACACATTACGTACTTCACTGGATTCAATATTCAAAGGCTACGGCAAACATGGTCAACAATAGAAAATATTGGTGCTGACTTATTAGAAAACATTAAGCAGACAAAACCTAGAACTTCAAATCACGATCGGTATATTAGATGGCCTAAGAAACTATGTTCTTAGCTAACATAATAAAAATTCTCTTTCTTGAGATTGTCGTACAACAATCTCGCTTGAAAGGGGTATAGTAGTGACCTTAGACATAGTAAGAGTAACAACCCTAAATAAACCTCAGCAGCAGCTCTCGAATATATAATATATAAAAAAAACGTGAACCCTAAAGTAACTCTCTCTCTCTCTCTCTCTATCTATCTATCTATCTATCTATCTCTCTCTCTCTCTATCTCCCTCCCTCCCGGATTTCCTCTTTCGAACTGCTGAAATGGAATTTCCACTGTGAAGCTAAAAGGGCTGTGAACGCTTCATACTAAAACACACCAACACCGTAAGTCCCACAATAACATATTTAGGAACATTTCGTTGTGTATGCAAGTTACTTCCAACAAAAGAAACTCTTGTTTTAAACATTCCTTTTTGTTAATTTTGTTTTATTAAATGTTATATTGCATTGCAAATCAATTGGTCAGTTATTTTGTGCATGCAATCTTTTTCCCCAACACTGATGTACTATAAAATATTCCCGTAAGAAACTTTACACATTTAATTATTGAAATAGCTAATCTCTAAAGGTTCTTGTTCCTCCTTTTTATCTCTTGTCCTCTTTCTGTCGCCCCTCTTTCACTGATCCTCGTATTTTCTCCCCCTGTCTCTGTCTATATCTCTATTTCACTTCCTTCAATCTCTCTCTCTCTCTCTCTCTCTCTCTCTCTCTCTGTCTGTGTTATGATGTTAATTTGGGGTTAATAAAGACAAATGCCAAATAACATGTAACAATAAAATGGGGTTTATTCGGTTGGTAAGTTGGTACAGATATCGCCTGAGTAGTCTCTAACTCAGCCCAGAACTTCTTCGACTACTGTCTTTTTACATGCCACTCGTTAACGTCCTTGTTTGTAGACGAGTTCATCTTTAAGAGGGGTGGTAGGTTCCTACACAACACTCTCTATCTATCTATCTATCTATCTATCTATCTATCTATCTATCTATGTATCTATCTATCTATCTATCTATCTATCTCTCATTATCAATCTCGTTTCCGTTTCGGCTTTTTAGTTCTTCTTTTCTCTATGTGTCATTCTTTTTTCTTTAACGCTTCCTGCTTTCTCCTTCTGTTTGTCCGTATATCTCTCTCTCTTTCTTCACTATGTTTTCTCGCTCTGTCTTTCTCTCGTTGTCTCTCTCTCTCTCTATCTATCTATCTATCTATCTATCTATCTATCTATCTATCTATCTCTCATTGTTAGCCTTCTTTACGTTTCGTTTCTTGCTTCTTTTTAACCTTTTCTTCTCTTTTTGTGTCGCCTCTTTTTCTCTGGCCCTCCTGCCTTCTCCTGCCTGTCACTCTTTATCTCTACTTCACTTTCTTCGTCCTCTCTCTCCACTATCCTCTCCCACACTCACTCTCACTCTTTCTCTGTTTACTCTCTCTCGTACTCTCTCTCATTATCCCTCTCTGCTCTCTCTCACAGATACGCTCTGTACTCTCTCTTCTCTTTCATATTCACTCTTTCTCTGTCTACTCGCTACTCTCTCTCTCTCTCGTACTGTCTCTCATTATCCCTCTCCACTCTCTCTCACAGACACGCTCTCTACTCTCTCTTCTCTTTCACATTCACTCTCACTCTCTCTCTCACTTTCTCCCTCTTTATTCTCAATCAAACACACTCTCCCTACACTATCCCCTCTCTCTCTCTCGCAATCTCTCTCACTTTTCCCACTCTACTCTCTCATTTTACTCTTTCGTTTATCTCACAGACACGCTCTCTACTCTCCCTTCTCTTTCACATTCACTCTCACTCTCTCTCTCTCTCACTTTCTCCCTATTTATTCTCAATCAAACACACTCTCCCTACACTATCCCCTCTCTCTCTCTCTCACTTTTCCCACTCTACTCTCTCATTTTACTCTTTCGTTTATCTCACACACAATCTTTCTCAATTCTCTCTCTTTCACGCACACGCACACACTCTTTCTCTCTCTCTCTTTCTCGCTCTCACTCTGGACGGTCCACTTTAAACCTAGTCATTTCTTTCTTTTTCTCTTCTTATTTCAGCCAACCCTCTCTCCATGGAATCGATTGTCTTCCCTTTCGCTTTTCATTTTTTTAATTTTGTTTCTTTTTCCCTTTTGTTTCTTTTTTCACTTGTGTTTCTTTTTCACTTGACTACCTTTTAGTCGATAAGACGGCGACCGTCTCGTTTTAGTGAAGCGTGCTTCTTTGTAATTGGAAAATCTCCATGAAATATTATTACACCTCAGCTTAAATCATTTGATAAAATTAGCCAAGGAACCAATAAGAGGTCGTGAGCCATGGGAGTAATGGAACAGAAAACCAGGAATCACTATCAATGGATATATCAGCCATTTAATGACAGAAAGTTTAATTAGCAGATCTTATTGTCGACTACAGGAATATTTCAATACTATTACAGCGAACCAATAAGAACAACATAGCCATGATGACTGTCGATGTGACTTAGCTTCCAGTGAGCTGGATTTCAAACATTTAAACAGTTAACCAGGATTAGTTAGACAGAAAGCATTCCAATGTTTGATGGTCTCCACAAGGATGAAGGAGATAATCGAGGCAACAGAGGTGTGATTCTACAGAATGATGCTAAGGATACCATAGACTGAACATGTGAGCAACGATGAGGTTTTAAAGAGAGTGCAAACAAAGATGAAACTTATACTTAACATCAGGAAGAGGTAGCTATAATTTCAAGGAGACACAGGGTGGATGGAGGACAAGATAGACAAGGGAAAGCAACGTGTGACATATTTAATGGGCGTAAGCAAGTAGATAATCGAACGGGGTCTGCGAGAAATAACAAAAAGATAAAATTTATTGAGGGTTACAAGAGACAGCAGGATGTAAAGAGCCATGATCGTCCATGTCCTGAAGAGACACGGCACAAAAAATGGAGAAATAAAAGCTGTCTGTTGTTGCTTAAAGGAAAATGAAAATATCTTGAGGAATATTTCAGAATGGATAGCAAAATAATGAAAGCAAATTAGTCATACTAATTATCGCTAAAAAACCAAACAAACCATAAACAAGCATTAAAATTCAAGGATAAAAATAATGAAACGATGGAGAATAAACTCATTCTCTGTCTAAATTTCTGAGATGAGGTATTATGTACAATATTTATATTATTCGGACTATTGTCCTCATCTTTGTCGCCAAAGGAGCATAGCACAGTGAATAAAGGCGTTAGTTAGATCCAGTGAGAGAACCCAAAGAGTGTGAGTTCAATACCTGGTTAAGGCGGTGGAGAACTTGGTAAGGGGAATTAACAGGAGATAACTGTTAACTGACATCCATTAGACATGGCTCGCGGAACGAGAATAGTCTACCCCAGTGAGCGAAATAAACGGTTCAGTTAGACATTCCAACCACCTGAAGAAGGCCGGAGCGTACAACGGTGGAAGCGTTGTAATAAATATGAAATAAAGCTAAGGACAATAATCAGTATAATGTAAATAGTGAACCATAATTCTCGTTTTTCAAAGCTGAAAATTTTCAATATAACATTTTGTTTACCCGATTAATTTGCTGGTAATAAACGTCTGCAGTGATAGTCCTTCCACGTTCCAATTGATCGTAATGGACGATATCATTCATATACAGCCAGATACATATTAAGGACTTCTGTAGATAGAGACTAGATGTTGCTATTGCATTTGTTTTTTTCATTTTGGGAGAATTTTTTTCGTTTTAACTTGACGTGAAGAATCCGATATTCTTAACCAGTAACGTAACGCTAAATGAAAAAAAAAATGCACTTGTAATAGGACCAGAAAGAGATGAAATTGATAGGAAATACATAAAGAGAAAAGCATGGAGAATTTGAAATTAACAGGTAGCAAAAAGAATGCTGATGTTCAATAAACGATCAATCTTCTAGGCGGAACTGAATGCAGGGCAATATAGTGATTTTCCAAGTGTAGGCACAAGACCGAAAGTAGTGGCCATCCACTGATGATCGAACTCACTACTCAGTCATAATTGATCTAGCGAGACAAGCTTGCTAATCCTTACACCATCTCGGAGTGCCCTTTGTCCAAGCGCAGCTTAGATGTGCTACAATGCCGAAAGTAGTGGCACCCAGTGAGGATCGAACTCACTACTCAGTCGTAATTGTTCTAGCAAGACAATCTTGCTAACCATTAAACCGTCTGGAGGTGCCCTTTTTCAAAGTACAACTTAGATGTGGCACAATGCCGAAAGTAGGGGGCACCCAGTGAGGATGGAACTCACTACTCAGTTGTAATTGTTTCAGCGAGACAAGCTTGCTAATCATTACACCGTCTCGAGGTGCCCTTCTTCCAAGCGCAGCTTAGATGTGGCACAAGGCCGAAAGTAGGGGCTACCCAGTGAAGATCGAACTCACTACTCAGTCGTAATTGATCTAGCGAGACAAGCTTACTAACCATTACACGACCTCGGGGAGCCCGAATGGTGGGCAATATGTATCCCGAGGTGAATTGAACAGGAGACTCGAGACAACGGAAGTGTGGTTTGACAGAAGCATACTGAAAATATATTGGATGGGAAATTTGATCAATAAGAAATGTTTAAGGGAAAATAGAACGAGGGTATTTAAAGTGACGGTTGAAATTTCTGGGTACCATGAGGAAAGAGGGCCTGGCGAATTTGACACTTACAGGGTATATTGATAGTAAGAGGCTCAGGGAGAAACGCCGAGTAACCAACATAAGAATTATGTATAAATGTATATCAAAGTATAAACTGCGATATATCGTAAGAAGACACACTTTGATAGAAATACAAAGCTGTAAAGATATTTGATCTTTCATAGGGAAATGGTTCATAAATCTAAAGATAGATATGAGGCTATTTTCTTTTTAAAAAATGTCTTCCTATTTGAACTATCAAAGATTTACTAATATTTATTTATTGAATAGTTTCTTTTTTTCCCTCCATTTTTTTTATTTGGGGGTGAATTTATCTCCCTTTTAAATGGCGAATTTGTCTCCTTTATTTCTGTCATCTTTTTCTTTTCCTCCATCTTAATTGCATTGCATAAAAATGGCGGCGAACCTTACAAATTATCATCATAAAGAAAACTCGGTGAAAGTCATTCAGTTCCAAGCTTTGGGATTAGCTCTGAAAATTTTAATCTGTCTGAGATTCGTTCTCCGAAAATTACTTAGGTGAGTTTCCACTGACTCCAAGACCAATGGTCATCGCTCTTCCAGTGGCTCTCTTTTAGGACTGTTAACAACACATTCTGGCAAATCAACTCATTCTTGAATTTACGCACGCTCATAATCTGTCTCCCCCCTCTCTCTTTCACTCTCTATCTCTAGCTATCTCTCTATCTGTCTACCTATAAACATCAAATTAAGATGAACTACACTGCATATACAAATATATAAACACTAGCAACTGGCAGTTTCTGTCAGTTCTACAATGTTGTAAGAGTATAGTCCTAAACACGGATAATTAGATAATCTTTTTATATAAAATTATTTTGACTACACTGCATGCACGCACACACACACACACATATATAGATAGATAGATAGAGAGATAGATAGAGAGATAGATAGACAGACAGACATAAAGGTAAAAGACAATAAGAAAACTGTATTATCAACCGACGCGTTTCGTCCAATGTGGACTTTTTAAAGGCAAAAACGAAATGAATGACTTGATAAAGTCAACATTTGACGAAAAGCGTCGGCTAATAATACAGTTTTCCTATTGTGTTTTACCTTTATACATATTTCCTTTTCTACAGGTTAACTACGAGAAATTGTATATATATATATATATATATATATATATATATATATATATATATATATATATATATATAATTAATTATATCTGCGCTCTACTTTGTATTGAGCACTCTTTTAAGAATAGTAATTGTTGGTTATTGGAATTCATTCCGTATACACCAATTATATACTTGGTATGTATATATATATATATATATATATATATATATATACACTGGGTGTGATGGATGAATTATCGTCTAAATTACGCAAAAATGAAAACACTGACATCTCATTTTAACAGATATATTTAATAAAATTGCAGAAACAATCTTCAAATACTAAAGAGCAAATTTATTCAATAAAATTGCTACGATCTCCAGACAACTTTGGAAACTCCTGTAACTCTTTTGGACAGGCTGCTTGTTTAAGTTGGTGAATGCTGCCATAATCCTTGCCTTCAGTTTATCGTTGATCTCTCGATCAACTGACCTCCACACATCATAATCAAAGGGGTTGCAGTCCGGGGAGTTAGGTGACCATATTTAAGGAGTGATGTGGTCGCAGAAATTGTCTGACAGCCATGACTGGGTTCGCGTGCTTGTTTGGCAGGGCTGAGAGTTCTGTTGCCAGACATAGCATCTTCCAGCAGACAGCAACTTGACCCAGGGCAGCACTACCTCCTCAAGGCACTTGAGTTTGAGGCCCTGTGGGAAGATAGATGGTGACATAACGTCACCTTCACTAGTGATCAATCCAAACGCTTTCATTTAGATTCATCCAAAGCTTTCCGAATCCTCTGAACTGTTCTCAAAGTGACACCCAAACACTCCGAAAGCTTCGTATTGGAGCTTCTGGTGCGAATGCCAAGCAGTACAGTAGTGCCTTTTCCAAATTTCTGGTGTAGCGAAATGCGCCATGGTGTTCTTTATCTCACAGATGGTGCCCAACTGACCCTACTAATCGGCACAATACGACAAAATCAAAAACAAACAACGTGCATGCGTGAAATTAAAAATAAACGAAATGACGACAATCTACCCATTTTAATATATAGGTACGTATGCGAGTGAATAGAACGTTCGCTTTTTGTCCATGAGACTCGGGTTCGAATGTGACCATGGTCGATCTGTTAAGAAGATTTCCTGATGTTATCAGTTCGGAGTCGGGGGCGGGCGGGCGATACCAGCGTGCGACACCTTTGGAAAGTGCGTGGAAACCATACCACGGGTTGACCCAAGCCTTGTGAGTGAAATTGGGTAGACTTAGGGCCCTCGATATCCGTGCTAGCACAAAGTCACAAGTCATCGTGACCGAGAGTTTGAGTATGCTGGTGTTGTTGAAATTGTTGATCATTCTAGATAGTTCTAGTTTATCTCCCAGAAACTGCAACTAAGGTCTGCCCAGCATAGTTGAAATAAAAAACCACAGGTTGGCTCTGTGGGTGTTGTACAAACACAAATTTGCCTGAGCGGTATTCTGCCATAGGGATTGGCTAGCCTCCCTAGTCGACGGGTATCTTTGAATACAAGTGGCCAGCTATTAATATGTATGTATGCATGTATGTATATATATAGATTTAATACAAGTAAATGGTTTGTCATGCAGCTGATTGGTGTTACCTTCATCATCCCGACTCCAGAGTTTTGTTGGCGGACCCTGAGGAAATCCATTCGCCAGATAAATAATATATATATATATATATATATATATATATATATATATATATATATATATATGTACGTTCTGGTATCTGTTCGTCGGATCTTTTAATGGTATTTGATTTATTGACTCTGTTATCCTGAAAAATCTCAACTTTTGCAAGAAATTCCGAAACTTTGTGCTCGGTAGGGTAAAAGAGGATATTAATCATAATTTTTTTCGTTTTGTCACAATGACATTTCTAATAAAAAAATTCATATCTCACTATTTTAACCATGCATGTTATTTAAAGTAGAAAACAACAACATTTTGTGACAATTTAAAAAAAATATTAGGAGTGGCTTCAAACTACTGAACCCTATTCGTAACGTACCTGTTGCTAACACAAATATAATAGCATTGTCTACATGTAATATAAGGATAAAAATAACGGAAGCCTTATTAAGAAAAGCAACAAACCAACGTTCAATAATATCAACTATGAACATGGACACAGTATCTTGACCATGTTTTAAAAAATGAAAACGTTATATAAATATATGCATACAAGAATCTATTTCTTTTAAAAGTTCATATATTTCCACTTTGAAAATGGCTAAATGTAGAGCCGAAAGCGCCCAGAAAGAAAGAACTATTGGACACTTTTTATATAATTTATCAACAGCAAAGGAAAAAAATTATAAGACCACATAAGAAATTGTATGAAAAAAACTAAAAATCACTTTATATGTTGTATTCAATGAAACGTGAATGAAAGAAGAATTTCTGACTAAATACACACACACACACACACACACACACACACACACACACATATACATATATATATATATATATATATATATATATATATACTAGAAAGTGTTAGTTTTATTATTTGTACAGATGTATGTGATATATATGTTTATATTGAAGTCAATATTAATTTTTGTAAAGAAATTATCTAATTTCCTTTTGGCTTTTCTTATAAATAATAATTTCATCATAATCTTCTTTCACGGTGAATTAGTAATAATATAATAAACTGTCTGTATTTATTTCTTTAAAAATATACATGAGGAGGGGGAGACACTCTAATTTGTTTTTTCATAAAAAGCGGAAGTAAAAAAGAAGAAAAAAATACCTCCCCTCAGCAAATAAAACATAACAGTAAAACCCATCAACAACAAATCAATAAAGCAACAAGGGTAATTCTGCCCATCCCCCACCTTAAAAAATATTCAAAAATTATTTTAAAAATTGAATTACGAAGATCTTGAATTATATATTGAAAATTTCACAAGGCTTTTAGTTTGTAAATGTGCCCCGCTACGAAATTAATAAGTCAATAACGTAAATAAATATTACGTTGAGATTTGATGCTAAACTATATAAGAAGAAGAAAATTTTGTTGAGCCAACGTTTTAATTAAGGAGGGTAAGCCTGTTGCATCAATTAAGAATTTGTATTCCCGGCTTTTGCTAGGCCTTGAAGAACAACCACACCCAAGGAAAGGATTCTGCACGTGCACGCAAACAACGGGAGCACAATTACAGGGATATGAACAAATTAATATTAATGTCAGAGAGAGAGAGAGAGAGAGAGAGAGAGAGAAGAGAGAAGGAAGAGATGGACGTAGATAGCGGGTAGATAGATAGATAGATAGATAGATAGATAGATAGATAGATAGATATGAATAAACTGCGACAGACCTGAATAAACTGAGATAGATGTGAATAAACTGAGATAGATAGATAGATAGATAGATAGATAGATAGATAGATAGATAGATATGAATAAATTTAGATAGATAGATAGATAGATAGATAGATAGATAGATAGATAGATAGATAGATAATGCGCACATTGAAAGACGAATAAATTAATGTGAACAAATTGTCATAGATAGATACGAAGAGAAATACATATAGATACGAGCAGGAAGATAGTATAGGTAACAGATACGAAGAGATAGATAGATAGATAGATAGATAGATAGATAGATAGATAGATAGATAGATAGATAGATAGATAGATAGATATTTAACAGGCAGTGACAGTTGTTTAAGAGTGAAAGACATATGTACAGATTGATTCCGACATTATCAGGTGTCCTTGATTTTGTCATCAATTGGCCCTGACGGCTGCATTTTCAAACGACCTTTTCTCAGCTAAATGCCATATTTAAAAGAACTACACGTGGGGGGATCTCTGTGATCCTAACGTGACAGGATTAAGAAGAGGATGAGCATAAGCACAATAAATCTTTTTCTTGCTCTACCCAACTACATGCAGCCACCTAATCCAACTCAACATCACCAGAAGCTTCCACTCAAACGTTTTACTTCACAGTTTTGTTTCTAATTCCCGCCATTCACCCATTCCGTTAACTCTTTCCCGCCATTTACTAAATCTTCTTGTTTCATCCCCAGATTTTAAATAATCCAATTTATCTCGAAATATCGAAGCGTCTAAGGGCAGTTTTGAATTTTTTTTTGTTTTGTTTTCTTTCCTATTTTGGTTTTATTATTATTATTTTTTTTATGTCGTGTACCATTCACATATAATATAATAGAGGCTTGCATATACTTACTCCAATATCCTTACAAACGCACAAACCTATCCTGTGGAAATCCCTTCCATTTTCTTGCACACTACAATCTTCAAAGATTTAAGTGTGACGTCAATTGCCATCTTCAGTTTTCTTGAACACTGTTCAGTTTCGTCCTTTCCGTGATCGTCCTCATCCTGTCTTCTCTTTCATTCCCTACAACACCCCTGCGTTTTAATGACATAATCGCCTTCTTTAGGGATGAACCGATTAATAAATATATTGTAGGAATCCTTCTACTCGGTTTGTCGTTGAATATTAAAATTCGGAGTGTCGGGATTTGATACAATAACATAAAATATTGTCGCGGGACTGTTTGTAATTCGTCCATTTTTAATAATCACACGATTTTTACTGAAAGAATAAAATCCAGTAGAAAAGACAACGTCGTTTCAACAAATAAACATTAATTTAATATAACGACACAAGAATACAAGAAGTTGGTGATGGATTGGAAAGTATTTTTTTCTTTGGCTTAATAAAGTTCTGAAAATAAAATATAAATTCTCTTTGTGTACGTATCTGAGAAACAATGAAATGTATGTGTTTGTATGAAAAGGTCAAGACGTGCGTGCGTGATTCATAGTAAAGAGGATACAAGAGAGAGATAGAAATTGTTTCTTACTGTTGGCAGTGTTGCCGTAGTCAGGAGTTTCTCAACGTTGTCGCTTTTAACATGAGGTCGTGAAGATCATAAGCAAGAGTTGCGTGTAACTTAGTAAAAGCTGTGTGTATTCTGTTTGGGGCCGGATTTTGTATGTTTTTATTACATATTTTCGTAACAAAATCGGCTCCAGAATTAAATTATTTATTTATTCCTAATTGGCCCTAAAAAGGTATGTCTACTACTACGTCCGCACGATATTTGGGCGGAATCTACCTGAATCATGATGACTAATACAACAAAATTTCTGATTTGTATTCTATGATTTTATTGGTGTGTTTTAAGATGTAAGTCTTTTCTTGACTGTGATTGGTTTATAAATATTGCATTTGATATTTTAGTGGACACAACAGATTTATATACAGTTTAATATATAGTGACAAGAATACAAGCATTTGCTTATAGGAGCCGGTCGTGAATTCAATGTCTAACAAATAAATTATGTTTCTTTTTTTTTTCTTTTTCCCCTCCCCTAGTCTTGGTATATTTTAACATCAGTTGTTGAAAAATAATTTTTCTTTTCAACCTCTTAGTTTTACTTGCCGACAATATTATTATGCTTTTGTATCCTGATTTATTAATAAAATATGATACCTTTTCTAAAGATCCTTTTATCCTGGTATAGCAATAACAATCTGTTTCAATATATATATATATATATATATATATACGTTATTTTTATAGATACAAATAATTAAGTAAATGCTCTGTTTGTAATAAACACTATTAACAACATCTGTCTATATTTCTGAGATGAGGTATTATGTACATTATTTGCATTACTCGGACTAATGTCCTCATCTTTGTCGCCATATTTATTACAACGTTTCGGCCGTTGTACGCTCCGACCTTCTGCAGATGGTTGGAATGTCGAACTGAACCCTTTATTTCGCTTACTGGGGTAGACTGTTCTAGTTCTACGTGCCATGTTTACAAGGAACACCATTAGAAAATTCGTAAACTTAAAGAATCAGCACATATGCCATGCCACAAAAATCTCCCGAGCCGAGCAAGCATAGAAATGAATACAATATGGGAACCAGTAATAAGGAGCGCCAGAGAAAAGCGATAATAACAACAAAAGTTGCATTATGAGCTCTGGTAAAAACATTCAATGATAACAACAAAAATTGCAATATGAGCACTGGTAAAAATGGTTTCTGAAGACATCAAGTTTATAATACCCAGGACACATGGCACAGTGGATAAGGGCGTTGGTTAGATCCAGTGATAGGACCCAAAGAGTGTGAGTTCAATACCCGGTTAAGAACTTTCAGAGGAGAATTAACAGGATTAACTGATAATTGACATCCATTAAACATGGCATGTGGAAGTAGGGCAGTCTACCCCATTGAGCGAAATAAAGGGTTCAGTTAGACATTCCAACCACCTTAAGAAACCTTGTAATAAATATGGCGACAGTCCCAATAATGTAAATAAAGTATTAACAACATTTACCGGCCTGAATTTCCGAGAAAATCTCAAAGAAAATATGTCCCCTCCAACAGGAATCAAATTTGTATCCTACACGGAACCGTCATATAACCTGGAGTGCTATACCATTTAGCTATAGAGGAAGCATCTCGAATGCTCATATCTGCTCGAAGCGTATGTTAGCGTAAACAAATGACATAATATATTATGAAATAATACTCTTTATATATTTATTATAAACAGAGAATTTATTTAAATATTTCTATCTATAAAAATAACGTATAAAAAGTGTTAAAATAATTTTCGTACTTAGTCCATTTAATAAACGGAATCTCCTGCAACTCTTCTGGGCGATCTCCTTGTTTAAGTTGGTGAGTGCTGTCATAATCCTTGACTTCAGTTCATCTTTCGTGTTACAAGGTGTTTTGCTGGTCTCTCGATCAACTGCGCTCCATACAAAGGGGTTGAAGTCTGAGTAGTCAGATGTAAAGGGTGATCTTGTCTTAGAAATTGTCTGACTGCCATGACTGGCTTCTGTTGCTTCTGTGGCTTGGTGCAGTGTCCTATTGCCAGAAATAGGGTCTTCAACCAGCCACTCTCTTGAGTTATGGCAGCACACCTCCTCAAGGCACTCGATATAGGCCTCAGTGTTGAGTCTGGTGGACTGAATAGCGCCATCGTGATTTTCTCATAGACCCTACTATACTGTGAAGTCGAAACAATTAAATGCAAACGACGCGCATGCGCGAAAATAAATATATTAAGATGGCGATAATTTATCCATCGCATCTTTTGTGTGTGTGTGTATATATATATATATATATATATATATATATCAGTGTGTTGTCTGTTGTAAAATTCTCACTGTAAGCAAGAAGTTTTTCCTCCCAAATTCTGATGTTTGGGACGAGAACTTTTCAGCATTCTTTTGTATACGCACGCACACACACGAACATACACGCATACGCATGAATGAGAGTACGAATGCGTGTGCGTGTGTGTATGTGTGTATGTGCTCATATGTAATTGTGTTTATGTGCGTGCGTTTGTGTGTGTGTGCGTGTGTTTGTGTGCGCGCGCGTGTCAGTTAGTTTCTGTAGTTTTGCGTGAAGATAGGATTTGATCGATGGATAATGTAATTAAATTTTCATCGAACTGGCCAAGAAAGCAAAGCGTAAAATAAGGAAATAAAATAATGTTTTCCTCCCCATACCCCGCCTCCGACCCACCCATTTGCCTCTTCAGGATGTCGATCGCCTGATAATCGATTCATCTTCCTGACTGTCCTCAAGCGTAATCACTCGTCAATTCACGAAGAAGATTAGGAAAACACAACACGCACAAACACAGACACACCTAAGCTAAGACACAGACAGGCGTACACCCTGAGACGCGTGCATGCATTCGCACTCTGAAAGCGAGAAAATATTTGAAACTCGGGACAAGTTGCTTACAAATTCCAAAATGTCAATAAGTTATTTTCATTTTCAGTTTTATCTTGAAAACACATCATTTTTTTTTTTCTCTCTAGAACTCTCTTTTAGAGGTTTGATTCGCTTTTGATTATTATAGTTTTCGCGACATTCTACAAGTGGCATGGGCAACCTTTTTCGAAGAAAATGAAGTGTGGTACATCATAACAGGAGCCGTATGAGGCACAGTACATCTTAATTCAGGCTGCATGAGATCAGTCCGTTATGTGCCATGCGTGATACACGCTTAGGCGATCATGTATCTTTCGAAACATGACTGATGAGGCAGATTTTTTCCCGCATTAGGTTACTATTTCTTTCTGCGGTTTTCTTTCCATCCAAGGCTATTTACCCATAGCTGGAGGGAGAAGAAGAGGATTGATACTTTTCCCAAGGCTGATAGCACGTAAGTGAATGTAATGGATTCGACTCGAATTCGAACTCGGCTCTCCGATCCCTCAATCCGAGCCGCTATCTGTTACACCACCGTCACAGGACATCGTAAGCCATTTTCCCAACAAAAGCGCATGCGCATTAGCATCTGCCTCAGAAATGAGAAAACGTCGATTTGTTTGCTTTGGAGAAACGATTACTTCTATCATTTTATCAAAAAAACTTGGTAAAATAGTATCCCTGGTGACAGGGTGATTAACATTCACTCCTGCGTTTTGATTTGTTTCTTATTT